ATAAAAATCTGCGAAGGGGAGACACGGTGAGCAGAGGGAAAGGACTGGCAAGGGTCAGGCTGACAGCAGTTAACAATCACATATACAGTGGCAGCACAGCTGGTGATGCATGAGTAATGGCACTGCTTAAATGATATACATGGAGTCATGAAGTGGACTGAAGGAAGGAAGAAGCATCATATCATAATAGCCAGGGAAAAGCATTCGATACCACTCATAACACAGAGGAGCGGCTCAGTTCTGCCCAAAGCCGTCCGTGCTACCTGGACACAGAGCACAGGGTATGATACCCAAAAGAAGGTCTGTTGCAAGGCAACTGTTTGCCAGAGTGGCTGTTTTTATTGCCACTCAGTGCAATATTTAAAGCTAGTTTTTTACATATCCCAGGAAAAGGGTTAATTCACCCACTTTGCTGAACCCCCAGAACTTTAAGATCCTTCCTTGTGCTTTAAAATCATCTACCCCCTAAGAAAAAATATAATGCAGGACCCAATGTGACAGGGAAACCGTCAGCATTATTTTAAATCTTTACTGATTACAAAACAAAGCAGATGGCAAATCAAGTCATGAACTCTGCATCTGCCATGCTTAATGAACAGTTTAATTACCTAGTCCCATTTCTGATGCATCTCTGCCATTGTCGGCTCTGGGAGTCACTTACATACTTCGCACTGACTCTTGCAAAAATATCTCCAGGAACATGTGGTACAGTCAGTCAGCTGGAGTTGGTTAATCAATACTTGTTTAATCTCCAACTTTTATGGTGATGGCCTAAATTATGTCTCAATAGAAACAGATTTCCTATCAGATCACGTGATCTGGTCGAAAGCTTAGAAAAAAAAATGGAATTTTTCAGCCTCTTCTCCAGGCAGTGGAGTACCCAAAGGCAGACAAATGCACAGACTGGAAATAAACAAAGCAAAAAAACAACATCCAGTACAATCAGATTAATTCATTCGCTGCATCATGCCTTGTACAAGAGCAAGGGAGCAAGGGATGCAATTAGGACAGTGTACATTCACAAAGTCTACAATCTGAGAAGCAATTCAGACTTCTTTGGAATAAGTTACAAGAAGTAGCTGAAATTGGGTTTCCCATTTTGTGTTTTGGTGTATGCAAATGGGCAAGAGCTTCCCGCAAAGCATCACACACTGGCTGCAAAAAAGCAGGGCGTTTTGTCTCTGGTCAAATCTGCTGCACGTGTTATAGGCTGTTCCTACTCACTCTGCAGCTTCATGTAGTTATGTCCACCAGCTCTGTGCGCAGAAGAAATAACTGTTTAAGGAGTCACTGAACTGCAGGCGTGCAGGAGAAGAGGCTGGCAGGTCTGAACCCTAACAGCAGCTAAGTAAGGAATACAGCTAAGGGCTAATCACAACCAGGTAAAATCACACGAGGAGAGGAGGAGGTGACAACCCTAAAAAGATCCATACAAGACAACTTTTGGCCCTCCACATCAGAAAGCTTTGGGAACCCTTCAGCATGCCTTTATTGCTTTTCTCCAGCCTCGCTTCTGCTGCACAAGGTCCATTTGTGCCTCCTGAAAGCTGTCCTCCTGAAACAAATAGACAAGAGCTTTCCTTCCATTAAATACTGACTCAATCAGCTGCTTGCACTCAGATAAGGTTTTTTAGAAAGGGTAGGAAACTGTGTAGGTAAACATGGCATTCAAAGCCAATACAACAGTAAATCAAACAGGAAAAAGGGCAGAGGTGGACTAGGTCTTTCCCCAGCATTTCAGATATCTCCCACTACTGCTATATCTGAACTACTTCAGGTAATAAAGCAAAGATTAGAGATTTCCCTAAAACTCTGAGCAAAGCCAAAGCAAAAAGACAGCATAACAGACAGCGAGCCCAGCCAAGTGGATTTCTAAAAGAGCAAGTGAATACATCCTTCAAACATCAATTTCTTTTTCATCACCTTAAGTGAACAGAGTGACACTCCAGGAGATACCTTCAAGCCATCAATGTCTGAAAACCTCTAGGGTGTCCAAATCTAGTCTTATGTTTCACTGAAAACATGTAGATCAGAAAACTTCAGTACTGCCCTGATTTACAAGGACATATCGGAGAAACTAATCAACTAACATGTTCTAAACAGCAGTTTGTCAACAGGAATAACCAGGACACAGCTCCTACGCCAGCCCACTGTCAGAGGTGGAATCGATTGGGCTGGACCACTGCACTAGTACGTCAAAGACTGGAGAATGCTGTTCTTCAAGTCTGCCAGGGAAGAGAGATTTGTAGTGTCTCACCAAAGTATCCTAGACTGACAATTGTGCCAATTCCAAACAGTAAACCAACTGGAAAGGCCCAAGTAAGGTCAAGAAAGCCCAAAACAAGCAAATGAGGCGAGGAAGCAAGCAATGGAGGGAGAAGTTAAATGCACTGAAATGGAAATATGAGAGCAACCAAGAAAGACAGAGACTGTGGCAAGTAGAAAATGAACAAAACTGAACAAGTGAGACAGGCAATCTGTGAAAACCAAAAAGTATTGCTTGAATTTTGAGGCAAAAAATTCAATAGCCATAAAAGTAAGTTGAGAAGGAATCAGATTGGCAAAGCAAGTACCTCTTGAAGACAGTATGTTTACTATTAAAATATTAGGCACTGCTGTTATCAGATGAAGAACAGTTTATCATTTTCTATTGGTCTTTTAAAACATATTCAAGGCCTGAGACTTCCAGGTTACTATTTGAGCCAAAAGAAAAGATAGCTATTACTGCATTAAACTTGCACTGTTAAACACATCTGATGCCTTTCAATCCTTATTTGCTCAGCATACAGGAACAGATTCACTGCCCTACTAGAGGGTCAAATATACACAAATGCAAAAATCACACTATCAAAAGCAATAGCAATTCAATCATATATATAATAGTCTCCCCCAAATTAGATTTTCACAGTCCTATTTAACAAGACAAAGATTCAATAGAGAGCGCTCATCTTTTCCATTCTCAAATTACATAGAAGGACACTGTACGACTGATGCCGCTAATTAGATGATTAAATACCATTCTAGGTGATACGCTTTCAATGTAAAATAATTATTTTTAACAGGCAATATATTTGCTCAATCTCATTTTAAATCACAATATCCTACTTTTTTAATTAAATGGAATTCCTCCTTCTGGTTTTGCATGAGAAGAGCAACCAGCAGGAGAAACGGTGCCAAGGATAGATTGCCCAAGTACCATAATGCATGTACTTCTTCACAAAGGACGCCTAGCATTCTCTGGAATATAAATTTTCAGAGAACAGCAAAGTCTTTATTCCTTTAAAACAGGTCAGTTGAGGAATCATTGAGCACACTGAAAACTTCCACTGTCAAAACAGGAGTTTATTTGTCATGGTCTGATGAAGGACATTTCCAACGTTTCCTCTACTCTTCAGGGGGAGGATAGCAAACAAAGCAAAGGCTCTGTCTTTCTATATAAATTAGGGTACAATCCATTACATGACAAAGTACTGTTGTCTTTTTGTCCAGTATTTAAAGAAAAGTAATAATATTTTGTGTTCTACAACAAAACATGTTTCTGCTGAGAACTGGAAATAAGTTAACAAAGGGAATATTTTAGAAATGATCTGAGAAACTTCCTTCAGGGCTGAGCAGCCCAGCGCAATGCTAGACAGCTGAGAAGGTTGTAAAGGAAGGATTTTTATTAGGTTCAGTATCCACCTGTGTCATATCCAGCCATGCCAGTAACAAACTAGAACACTATGGAGGGCTGTCTGCTGCTGGGGGTATTAGAAAGACTAAGAAGAGATGCCTTTTCTGTTTCCATGGAGAGAGTTTGGTCCATCCACCCTGACTGCAGTGTCTACCTCAGTGTGAAGCAGAAAGAACTGCTGTCATTTTTCTCTTCTCACTTATGTGACTCTCCATGGCATCAAATTTTGCAGCCAGAAGATCTGATAGAATATCCTCTTGTAAAGTGGCTGCTTCATGCTTCAAGAAGCCCTGCTTACTGCACCATATATCACAGCTTCTTTGGCTCAACAATGACACGGAATTACACAGAATTGGGTGCAACACAATTAAAATCGATCAAAATGCTTTAGTCGACACTGAAAATTAAAGCCTAAAGCACAGGCAACCGAACAGCTCCTTTCCCTTTTGCTCAGACACTCCCATACCAGCATCTTTCCTCCTCGTACACAGTGATGTTCCTGGCTCCCCCTCACGTGCTCTAACTACTTGAGTCTGACCTTATGCACACACATAAGCTTACTTACGTGAGCAGCTTTATAACATCAGGGAGATTGCTCAGATGAGTGAAGTTTTGTAAGGAGCATTCTTGGAAAGTGAAGTAACTATCATTCTGACTACAGAGAATTATTATTCCCTTTGGGAAAGAGCACTCTCAGAATTTAATATAAAGTTTTCAATGCTCTACAGACTTCAAAATTATTGTACAGAATTTCATCACGAGTGCATACCTGATATAGGATAATGCAGGCTTCTTTGATATATCCTATAGAAAGAATCTTAAAACGTATTTTCAATTTACTGGTCTAGTGCCTACCATTACATTTGAACAGACTTCTCAGCGTAAGAAGAAGGCAAATCTCTTACTCTCTGTAAATTGTTTTTCCACAGGAACAGTTGACAAGGTGCCGTCGTTTCGTTCTCTTTAGGAGAGGAGGCGATGCAGCCAAAGCCATTATAAATTCCCTTCAGTGGCTCAAAACACTCTAGCGACAACATGATTCAATTCTCTGCTCTTGCACAAATGCCAAGCCTGGGACAAAGTCACGTATCGCCAACACAGCATGAGCCCGGATGGGGGAACCCTAGCAAAGCCTTAGGATGAACTAGTACTTTTATTGTAACGGAGTCCTAAATACAAATTTCACGTGTCTTATAGCACCCACTATACGAAGACCCCATAGCAACTTTGTAGTAGCAGTTACAGAGGTGAACAAAGAAGAAAAGGACTGCACCTGGAGGAAAGAAATAAGGACACGGGCTTTTCCAAACATTATCTAGAAACTCACCTTGGTGAGTAGCAGTACACGTTTCTGCAGCCGTCTGACCAGTGCTTCGTGCTGCTCACGTTTCTTCTTCTCATCCAAGAGCTGGCTCTGAATCCGTAGTACTTCTTCCTGTAGCTGCTGCCGGGCCTTCTCTAGTATTCGGGCACTAAGAAAGATAACACAGACTTGTGAAATCTTGACCACTGTCTCTTAGTCAGACAGATCAGAAAAGCCTGAGAGGAGAAGCATCACCATGATACCAGGACACAGGGGCTGGTGCCATTTCATCTTACATTGCACCACTGGAAACCGAGTAGTTGCAGTCTTATTATCAGCTGTTCTCAGAAAGAGATATGAGAGGAGAACCATCACAGTGACAGCCTTCTTGCTCAGCACAAGACAACTACTGGAACCTCACATATACAAACCATTTAAATAATTGCATATCTATTTCAAAATCAACTGGCTTGCCTTTGAGAAGATGCTTGTTTTCAACAAACGACACATAATCTTGCGTTCTACTGTCTCTTTTCATTTTTTTTCTAACAAAATAGAAGTAAAACTGAGGTTTAATATGATCTGCTTTGACAGACAGATAATACTCAGCAAGTAATTATAGCCACCACCTGCACATTGCTCTTGCCAGCAATCTATATTGGAAGAGACATGTCTTCTGAGGCCAGGTGATTAGCACTTCTTTTGCAGTGTGGACACGATTCTCAATTAAGCCAAATAGCTTGGTCCCTCTTCTTCTCAGCTCTCTGCACAGCATGACATGGTGACACACAATTATCCATGTATTCCTGCAGATGTTCTTCACGCATGCCCTTCAGATACTCACTCTGCTGCTGGGACACTAATGGACAGCTGTTCCAAGGCACACATCGAGCAGCATATCACAGATCAAGTATGCTGGCAAAGTACTTGATCAATAACAAAATACGAGTGAAATAATACTTGTGATGTTAGAAGTCAGTTCATAATTTAAGTATGGCAAGTTTATCCAGGACTGCACTAACTAAGTATTTAAAGAGTAAGCAGGACATGAAAAAAAGTATTGCACACAAGTCGAAAACCCTCAAGCAAGCTAGAAAGATCAAAACCAACATCTCTAGCTTAGTCAGGAACAGAAGATCTTTGTTTCTCTGATGTTAAAAGCAACACTGGAAAATTTATGAGTGCTTCAGAGGGGTATTCTTTACCATTATAATTAAAAGAAAATAAATAAAAATGCTTTTAAATAAAATAGCACTATCATTAAGGTAGTGTTTAGATAGATCCGAAAGGGAACACTACCTTAAAAGATACTGTTAGTGTAAATCAGGTACATCGTGCACTGCCAGGTCACCAAACTGTGCTTTTTGGGAAATTTATATAGGAATTCACCAAAATTCCCTGTGCAGCTGTGCCCCTACCTCAAAATCCTCCTCCTTGAAGAAAAACATGTACTTTAAAACACTGGATTAATTAGAAGCCTGTTTAAACCTCCAGTTCAATTTGGAACCATTCACAGACCAATTTAATAATCAGGGACTGTGAAATAGTCTCTTCATTGCTGTATTCAGGTGGGAAAGTTCATCAAGAGGGCTTCAAATCTGCATTTGAAAATGGATAATTTCATTACCAGGGCACCACTACTTCCTTGGTTCTGTTTTAATTAATCAGTCAAAAAGGGAACCTGTGCCCAAGAGTAGTATCTGTGGCGATGGAACATGAAGCAGTGCCAGCCTTGCACTGGATGTTCCCTTCCCCACCCCAACCTCAGCAAACATCTCAAATTCAGTCTTGTGGATGCTTAATAGAAACACTAGCCTTTTGCTTATTGAACAATGCAAGAATTCCACAGGATGAAGTAGAGAATCAACTCTTGTCAGATTCAACAAAATAAATCCAATATTAAAAAACTTCCTAGAAACCAACATCCAAAGACAACAAATAGCAGGTTGAGTCCTGGCATACTGTGAAATATGGGATAAAGTTATGTGGTCAAATGTCACAAGCACATATATGTCACTCAAGAAGTGATTACTTGCAATGTACAAACCTCACAACATTCAGAAGTTACGGCTGCCAAATTATAAAGCTACCCACCACCGGTCTCCAGCCCATCCTTTTGTTGGAGGTTACCACTTTGCAGTATAGCTAGCAAATGCAAACATGTGCTCACACCTCAGCTGCTCAGTTCACAATACAGTATCCTATACCTTGAACACCCCTTCAGGGGCAATTTAGGCTGACAGTAATTTCTGGTAGATGGACACAACTTGGGCAACATCTTAAAATGTAACAGGAAGATTCATCACACCATGCCTCTCAAAATCCTAGGCTTAAAACACTTATCCCCCTTTCCATGGGGCTTGTACTAAGACAGACTTCGCTAAGCTTGTGCTAAGACAGACTTTACACCCATGCATATGTGCCAGCCTAGCAGGTTTGCAACAGGTCAGCCTCCAATACAGGGCAGAACGGATGGGTGAGACTAGGTAACCTCAGCTACTGTCTTAAGATTCATTAGAGTTTGTTCAACAATATTCTTTTTTTATGCATAGGGTAAATATAGGTACAAAAACTTCATCAACTGTGTTATAAGAAATTAAATCGCACTACAGAAACCTTACTGCAAATATTATTTGCTCTATCAAAGAAACTTAGTCCTGATTAGGGTCAGAACAACAGAAAAAAGTGCAAACATAAGATTAAATACTACAAAACAGCCAGAATCTCATATTTGATTATTGCAAAACATTTTGATAGGACAGTGGAGAATTTTTTTTTCCTAATCTCCCAATATTGTGACCTATTTCTATAAATGGTGAGTAGACTTACAGATTATGATTGAGTTGACATTCACAAAGAAAAATGAGATATGTGCTAGGTTTCCTTCTTGAAATAATGAAAAATATTTGAGATTCACATCTCATGGAGAGCACAGACATTCTGCCACACACATACCTCTTGAACTAGGTTGGAAAATGACTTTTAAAACATGAGAAAAGTTAAGCAAAGAGAGACAAATGGGCAATTTCCTCAGCCATTGCATGGTGTTCGGAAAGAACACCACCATCTGTTTATGTTTCAGCCTAAGATCACATGTGATGTTAATGTACATAAAATTTAAATGCCAGAGATGTCTATGAAAGCAGAGACAACACTCAAACTCTCTGAACTGACTCTGTTACCATAGGTTTCCTTGGTAGAGGAAGCATGAAATCCTACTTCCTTACAACCCTCCACACCATGCCAAAGCAAATTATTGAGATCCCTTCTTCCTCTCTTCGGACAGATTGATAATTCTTCCAGAAACTGCACCAAATACAACATAAAATGTCTCTATAAGAAAAAATCGAGAAAGAAAGTTATATTCCTTATTGACACAAAACAGGATTTGAATGTAGGTGCCCAGCAGCAAATGCTATTAAAAGTTCAACGTGGGCACTCTTCTTCCACACTGATGACACCTCTGGCTTTTCAAAAGTAATTGCTCACTCAAAATGAGCATTAAAAAAATAAAATAAAGCAGGCCCAAAGTTCTCCATTCAACATAAGCTTGGAGAACTGGCATTTCTAAAAATCTTTGCAAGTTCAAAGTAAACCTTTTAAGCCTTAAAGGGAAAAATTCATTTCTGTTTATCAGCCTATTAATGTTCCTTCTTGCACATCCCATTGAATGAGATGCCAACATCTTTCTGTTCTCAGCTGTTGAGACTCTTCATATTTTGCTCTTCCCTTCTGTAATCCACTTTAATGTAATCTTAATGATAAAACTTCATTTTCCAGAATGTTCTTTGAAAGACTGAGAACAATGACAGCAGAGAGTGAATACTGAAGCTATAAGATACATTTTAATAATCTCCTTCAAAAAATTACAAAAGCAGCTGACAGCTTCCCCCCCCCCCCACTGATCCCTAAAAAAATATTTTAATCATTCCATCCTTTTGGTAGCCAAGTTACCACCTCAGAGATACTAAAAAAATAACAGGGAAAGCAAACAGGATGCCAGAACCAGTCTGTATATCAACCTGAGAGGAAAACAAGAAACGCACAGCGGCACAGAGACAATTAGAAGAGCAACACTGTCTGGGTCATGTTGCAATGCGGGAAAAGATGAGACACTTGCACATACCAGGGCCAACTGTCAGATACAAGGATCACATCAAAGAGAAAGCACCAAAAACCAGAGAGCGTGGATGGGAAGAACACTGAAGACGCACAGAGGGAAAATACCATGACAGTGCTATCACACATACATAACAGAAAAAAGAAAAAGGCTGCAACTATCAACATCTTCATGACAGGGTCCAAAATAAAAAGGTTAGCACACAAGCTAATGAGGCAAAAGGACCAAGGGAAATTGTTTTGTAGCAAGACATTTGGATGAAGAAAAGCACACCCATTCCTGAGGCTTGACAACTTGCAGCCTTCTCAACATATCTACACATTTATAGACAGTACACACAAAGACATAAACCACACTGGAAACTGATAAACAGAGAGCTTGAACAAAAATGTTATTTTTCATTCCAGTTCTTCTCCCCTGGGTTTTATAAGCCAACATGAAGGCATAAGTAGCAACAAGGTAACTCCAGCATGTCTTCATATTGTCCAGTGGATAGCAGCAGAACATCCCTGTCTGTCCCCTCTCTCAAGGCTCCTTCCAACCTCCAATTCCTGGCACAGACTCCTTCCCCCCTCAGCCTCTGCCCAACCTGCCTCGACAGGAATCACCACCATCTGGGATGGGAATTCAAAAGGAAAAAAAGAAGGGAGAAGATGACGATAAAACCAGTCTGACTTAAAAAGGGCCAGGACACAGGAAAGAAAAGGTGGGGCTTGGCAAAACAGAAAAATTTCCATCTTATGCTAAAAAAGGAAAAAATTGATCCATTATAAAATGCTGCTGAAAAGACGGAGGGGAGCTCTGAGAACACTGCTGCAGAATGGAGCTGCCTAAACTAACAAATTTAAGGCAGGTAAACTAGAAAAAACAAACATCAGGAAGGAGGAGATTATTTTAGTGCTATAAGTATTTCAGCTCAGAAGTCAAAGGTCTGGGTGCTAATTTGTATTAAAATAAGGTTGTTTGGCATCTTGTTCTGCTACCTCTCTTCTTCACATACAAAACTGTGAATAAACTGAAGCAGCAGCATCCATCCCTGCTCTCAAACA